GAAAGGTCAAGACCCTAGGAATTGACAAAGTACCGCATTGCTTCGTCGTTTCGCAGAACGCGCATGTTGGGGTACTCGGCAACCAAGGGTCGGGCATATCCCTCTGCGCAGCCACTCTCCCTAGGTTAGGGATGTTCGATGCTAGATGCTAGATGAGGCGAAGGCGCTGCCTGAACGAAGAATCGTACGAAGCAGCCCCGATGCTGCAAGCGAACATCAAAAATAAAAACAACAGTCAAACAACTCAAAAAGAAGTGTGCATACTCCGTCTAGTTCTATATGATTATAGACCATCGAAGGTCAAGCAAGTTTCGGTGAGGATTCGAGGGTCGAAATGACAGCTACGCAGACTTTTGTGGCAAGTGCACCAGAAGTTGTAAACTGTCGTCAGCTATCCACATGGAAAAGAGTGTTTTGGCCTCCTACTTCGCAAGGACGAGCCCGCATGGCAGGGAGACTGCAAGAGCCAGGGTCCACGGCTCAAGGGTGTCGGGAACAAAGGGTCCCAGACACCTTTATCGACCTCGAGGCTTCGGGCTAGGAAACAGGGAACCCCCTTTTAACCTCTAAAAACGTAAGCGCGAATGATATGTCTATCCCATTCAAATATATAACTTGGTTAAGATTCCGAATCACAGGGGCTTCCACTGCGTGCCAGGGAGCGCAGGGCAAATGCCAAGCCATGCAGCAACTGGCCGATGTTGTTTCCCAAACGGCCGTTGCCTGCAGGGCGAAGGCTTCTTGAGCTGTACTTGAGGTCATCATTAACGTGGTCACCCACCCCTCCAAGACTCCGCGCAGCCACACGAGATTAAAACCATGCTTCAAAGCCGAGGTTTGGGGGGGGCTATCACTGCAAACCCGGCTTAAAAGCTGTATCAGAGTTCGCTGTTCTCTATTGACAACATATCTGAACCTGTAGCAATTAGTAAGTAACGAGATACTGGAGGTGCTTCTCCAAAGGCTCCCCAAGTCCCAGAAGCCTTAAACACCCATTGCGAGACCCTCAAAGCCTCTCGATGTTCGCTTTACCATCCCTTTATGTCCTCTGGCGCAAACCGACCACAAAGGCCGGTCTGGAGGCTTATGATGGGGGGCTAGTATACTGGCAGCATGGCTTTGCGAAGTTCTCGGCTGAAGATTGATGTGCAGTACCGTCATTGCCAAAATGCTGTATGATTGATCTGTTGTCAGAGATTGGATGGGTTGCAACCGAGGCACCACCTGCAAAGACCTTGACGATAATGGCCTCTGACGTAGCTGCCAAGGGCATACTCGAAGGTATGCCGGGTGTGGTCGTGGCAGTGGTCGTGCGCAAATCGAAAGAAATTCCGACAGTACCACTAGGTGCAGGGGCTGCAGATGTCTGGAAAGCTGGGCAGGGTGCAGCGACCTGCTCGCAGGGCGAGCACGGCTGCTGCACGCAGGGCGCACAAATGTCCGGCAGCTTTATGGTGGACAGTGACGGCACAAAGCTCGCATTGAGGGTGGTTGAAGAAAGACCACAGGCGTATCCAGCACTGAAGGTAGCTGCGCTCAAAACGAGCTGTCCCAAGCCAAGCCTGCAGCAAGATCCTCAGAGTTCGAGACTGCATGCTTTTTTGCCAGTCCCACAAAATGACCAACTAAATGAAAGCGCTCCTTTCCAGTCCCAAATCTATCAATTAAGTGAAAGCGCGAAATTCAGCATTTCTGTGAAACCGGTCGATGATTTATGTTCGTGGTAAGCATGCCACCATCCACTGGTGGCTTGAAGCAGAAGCTTGCAGGGTTCAGGCTTGACAGGGTCATCGAACCAAGCTGCAAGCCCAACAAGAGAGTGCTCCTTTTCAATTGCTTCCTCTCTAGGACTCCAGGAGGTTTCTGCGACACCTTTAGCCAGGCGGCGGGGCTCCGAGGCGCTTGAATCTTGCCGTGTCAAGGCAGGGAGGGGCAGCGCCACCTGCTCAGGGCTTTGGCTTGCGATTTAGGGTTCGGGGTTGGGCCTCAGTGATTCAGCTTTGGTGATAAGGCCAAGCTGCGTGATGCGAGGTGACCACACGCGATGGCGGCCAAGACGTGGGATTCAGAGACGAATGCCGTCTTGCAATGCTTACGAGTTCTTGCTTTAAGCTTTTGCTCACGAGCTGAGCCATGCTGCAAGTCCCTACCCAACCGCTCCATGAGGCCATGCAGCATCCTAAACCTTGAGCTCCTGAACCCAAAACTGAGAATCTTCAGAGTTCTAAATCCTCAAAGCTAGACAGTTGACCGGTCAGGAAAACAAAGTCTGACACTTCGTGATCGCCTGCGTCATCTACAAGGCGGGCGCTGGCCCTCACGGCTGCAACATGGCCAAATGCTGAGCACCGCAGCAGAAGGTCTCTTGGATTGCTGTAAGCTTCGGAAAAACTCCGTGAAAGAATTGAGCTGAGCTTGAAATTCTGTGGTGCTTGGGTTGGTGTGGATAGGGATCACTCGCTGACGAAGGGCTCTGCAAGCACAGGCCTACTTCAAGCTGCCCTTCAAAATCTCCGAATCTATTCAGAAGGAGATCGCAACAGACGTCTTGCTGCATCTGGAAAGTATAATAGAAGAACAGAGCAGCTGGTACACAATGGCGGGAGATAGACTCCGACTGACCTCTTAACCCAATCTGTTCAAAATTGGCTGTAAGGCAGAAACACCTTCGGAGCAGGGCAAGAAGTGCTTCAAGCGGGGAGGGCACATCCTACGCCAACAGTTTCAGAGTTTGGGGTCGAGGAATGGGCTTCAAGGACTCTTCCTTAATCATCAGGTTTGTACATATAAGTACATGTGTGTATATATATATATATATATATATATATATATATACACATACACACATGTACATGAAATGAAGGGCGAGTTCACCGAACCCATGCCATCCAGAAAGAATGTATGCAGAGAGAGAGAGGGAGAGAGAGAGAGAGAGAGAGAGAGAGCCGTCAGCGGCCAGCTCCCTTGAAGCCCGTAACATTAGACTGCAGCTGCCAGGTGCAAGAACGAAGCTGCCCCAGCTAAACCCTCGAAGCCCAGTACCTCAATGCCCCAACTCCCGGCCCCTAGGACTAGGACCCTTCTAGGGGTTCCAGAACGATTCCGATGTGCAGTCTTCCGTTCACACTCTGGCCTGCCGTACTTGGGTCCCTGGAGGGACGAAACCCTGGATCCGAAACGGGGTACGTAAAGCCCCCAAATGACTTGGGAGTTTCACAAACTTAGGGGTACCTTATTTTGGGGTCCTGATTAGAAGGATCCTACTATTTAGGGGTACTCTATTAGGGTCCCCTATTTTCGGAAAGCCCCACTTGTTTGGAGTTGCAGGCAGGGTCCTAGGCCGCAGCCCGTCTGCAAAAGCAACGCAGATTGTCGACACCGTTTCATCAACTCTTGGGGGTTGTGATGCTGCTCTACGCGACTCGAATCGCGACCAGTTGGATAGAAGCTGCAGCCGTGGGATTGCACGAGACTTAGAGGGACGAGGCAGTCTGCAGTGGGTTCAAACTTCCGGCAGAAAAACCTTTCAAGCACAAGCCCCTGACCAGCATGGTAGACTTTATGTTGCCAGAATTATAAGGCACCATGGCTTCAATAGTACAAACATGACGAGTTGCATGTGCTCTCTCAGCCTGCGATAGCCAGCCCGTGCCTGAAACCCATGAGCCCGAAGGTCAGGACACTAAAGCTGTCTTTGGTTTCTAAGTTCTAAACCATAAACCCTATCACAAGCCCTCAGCCCCTAGCCCAATCCTACATCTGAGGCCATGCACTCTTCAAAGTTGAGCTCTCCGTCCCAGTTCTTGTCAACGACGGCCAGGGCCTAAAAAGCCATCAAGTTAAGGACAAGCGTCGGCGACTAGGGCTGTGGGTTCCAGGTTGCAATTGAAGGTGTCGTTGGTTGAGGTGGCAAGTCTCAGAGCGAAACGACTTAGAGCTTCCGATTGCTCGCTGCTGGTCAGCTTGCATTCGAGTTTGACAAGCCTACGGGGTTTTCGACATCTGCACGTTGCAGCCACTATTGCCAGGACTGCTAGAATCTTATTGCGAGAACCCCCGGACCAAAGACCATGGATCGGTGGGTGAATATGTGGCCGGCTGGCGAGAAAGCAACGCGCCACCCGCCAGTTTATCACCCAGTACTTCGGGCTGCTGGCAGGGACTTCGGGCACGACAACAACGTCCCTAAACAAGAGAATAATTGGCACTGCGAGCTGACGGACCCAGTCCTTTCTATTATAGTGATTGCGATGCTGACATGTTTGCGATTATGACGACTCTTGAGGCGCTGTCAGAACATGCTATTGGTATCTCTTTGTCGTAGGTGGTCATGTCTTTTCGTTTGACAATGTCGTGTTGTTGAACAGGGCAGCTTTGTCGACAATGACCGAATCTTGAAGAAAGTTGACAACTCCGACATGCTGGACTCCTCGCCAGAAGTGTCTCGCGCTAAACCTCAAATGCTAAACATACTGAAAGCGGAAAGCGCAGCCACTCAATCCGAGCCCGGTCGATCATCAACCCAGTTTCTCAATTGAGACGGCACAGTTTGAAGCCAAAGGTTTTAGGATCGAGAAGATTGAAGTTGGGTCAGCTAGCGAAGCTGGGCAATGGGACGTGCCTCCTGCATCATCTGACGGCATGGGATCATCCCCAATCCCGACCTCAATATTAAAAGCTGGGTACGTTCGTACATAGACAGACAAGTTCGCTGCTTCCAATTTCGCACAGCACCCGATAATGCACAACTTCAATGTTCACCCACTCCCATCCCGATGTCTCGGCTGCCTAGGCCACAAACGTGCTTGGCTTCGCATAGTTCGTATGTGCGAACGAGATCTCTGAATGGCCAGCAGTAGGGTCCGGGGCGATTAGAGCCAGGCGGTACCACACTCCACGAGATGGTACCCGAAATCCCACCCAAGTCTGAGCCCAGCAATCATGATGTCCACTTCTCGTGCGAGCACCTTTTTCCACAGGCGTGAACAGGCGGGCACCGCCTATTTGGTCCTGCCGACAAGCTCGGTGCACATGAAACGAACTAAATCTCTTGAACCTTAGCTGTTTCGTGCTTCTGGAAGTCTGCAGCAAGCGTGCCTTGACGGAACCCCGAGGGTTAGGTTGTGTTCGTCTGTGTAATTCATGTCTCCGGAAAAGTGAAGCAAGTGTCTCGTAGTATAGGGGTCATAATGATTAGAACAGGGTTTTGCATGTCCCGAACAGCAAACAAAACGGGTACGTCCTGCACTCCAAGCCCTAGAAAACGTATTGTCTTGTTGTTTGGGGGGCCTTCGCCGAGCCTGAACCACCAGTTCTGCAAACGCAAGCCTCCCACAAGCATCCTTTTGCGTCCAGGTGTCCTCGAACTGCCGGGTGCCCGTAGAAGATCAAACCAAGAGAGTCTCACGAATCGTGACGCCATGCATGTTGCACAATCCAAGGGTAAAAGGAGGGACCCTTAATAAGGACCCCTAGGTATATACCCTTAATATAGCTATTATATACCCATTATATAGCCCATTACAGGGTAGTGGTCCCCATCAAGGGTCCCTCCTTTTCCCCTTTGACACAGGCGAGATCCGAAGCAAAAGCATGTAACAAGTCAGGGCACCGAGCCCTGATACCCCAAAACCATGAGTCCCAAAACCCAACAACCCTAATTAACCCCCAAATCCCTGAACCCCAAAACCCGGTCGGCTTGAGAGTAACCCCCGGGGCACGCTCCTCTGCCGCTTTTTTGTTGCTGGCCGCGCAGGGCCTTCCTCCAGTCAATGTCAGTTGAAGGTGCTTTTTGGGGGATTGGGCTTCACATAGGGGCCTTAATCATCAGAATCGGGTTTTGGAGTGTACTAGACTATAGCAAGGATCCCCACATTTTAGGATCCCCACATTTTATGATCCCGGTTCTCGGTTCACCGACTCCCACCACGCCCCCAATGGATCCCCCCCCCCCACGCTCCCCAAGCCGAATCTGTGCGTGACTGTGCAAGCTTTTTCCACACGAGGGCTCACACGCCAAGCAGACCCACGCAGGAAACCCAAACCACACCAAACCACACCACAGGGGGGAGTGGGGTAACCAGCCTAAGCAGACCCACCCGAACCACACCACACCGCAGGGGAGGAGGAGGAACCATTGGGGGGGGGAGGGGGGGGGGCCGGCCGAACCGGGATCATATATAGGCAATTCTTAAGGCCCCTATTGTCTTGCCTCGGTAGGATTCCCAACGATGGGTCAGCTGTAAATTCAGCACGCCTTGCGGCACGGACGAATGCAACAAATCGAAAACAGCACACCCTCACACCCGTGCTTGTGGCTTAACCTCCGACTTCCAACTGCACTGAAGGCATTCCGACAGCTGCTGTATCAGACGAATGCTCCCACAGACACTGCCAAACTATGGGCTTAAACACTGGATCTCTCCCTGTGCCCATAGGCTCCAAAGTAGTTCATTTTTGAGTTTACATTATAGCACTCTAAATATGAAGCCCAAAAAGGAACTACTATGGATCCCTCCCTGTGGACACTCAAACTTTACACCATCAAGCCAATGGCTCTCTGCGATTAGGGCTTCAAATTGCTGCATTGGTTTAGAGGTTTGGGGGGTTAGGGTTAAGGGTTTTGGCACGAGGTCCCAAAGTATGTCGGGGATTTCGAACCCGCGCCGCAAGAGTAGCCGGAACCTGGCCAAACCAAAGCCCACCTGAACTAACGCCCAGCTGGTCTGTGGTCTAAGGCAAAAGGGTGCAAGAAGCATTGCGTAACAAAAATGCTGCGATTACTGCCGGTGACAAAACCAAGGAGGCACGGCGATAAGCATGCTTTGACAACCATGACCAGGAAGTAACCCCAAGGGTCCAAGCAACGCATTATCATATACTCTCCAAAATCCCAACCTACATAACTACTATCCGACTATCCTAAAGCCGAGTACGAAATCTTTGGCTCCTTTGGACCCTTAGGGTAAAGTAGCATTCGCAAGCTCCAAACTATCGCCGACCAACACCCCAAACTCAAAATCAGATTCAGCGAGTCAGGGACGGCCTTGACCTCGGCAACGCCCACTGCCGCCAGCTGCGTCAGGACCTGGAGTGCCGATGGGACTCTGGGGGACTCAGGAGCTGTTTTCCCTCCTACTTAGCCTCAGGAGCTTAGGGTCAGGTTTTGCCCTAGTGGTCGGAGTTCAAGATTCAATGTTCATGGACCATGGAACTTCTCAAACTAGTGCAAAATTCCTGGTGCTTGGAAGAACAGGTACCTCGATGGCAACTTTTGGAACAGCCTTTCTTGACTCTCTCTGGAGCGTTCTCTTTGTCGATCGATGACCTTACTCATATTCGCTACAATGCTATTTCCGCAATATCTCTCGCTCTCTCTTACTTCCCTTTGTATGTGTACGTTGGTGCTCATCCTCACTCTCTGCAGCTCTCTCTCTCCCTCTCTCTGTCTCTCGCTCTCGCTAGCTCGCTCTCTCTCTCTCTCTCTCTCTTTTTCTCGCTCTCTCTATCTCTCTGTCAGCGTGCTACTGTAAGGTTCACCAAGGATTCTTTTTGCTGGACCTGGCCTGGCAAACTTCGCTCCAAGCGTCTTGCGGAACGTCTGCCTCCGTTGCAGAACGATTTCATGGGAGTTTCTGAAAATAGGGGGACCCTAATGTAGTACCTTGAGTAATAGTAGGGTCCTTATTATACGGACCCCACATGAGGTACCCCCTATTTTCGGAAACTCTCACACGAACATCCTAGACATTTCACCTAGGCTGCCGCATTGTGCGACATGTCGAAACACTTATAGTAGTAACTTATGTGCTAAGCTTTCCACATGCCTGACCGACTCTTGCTGACATAGGCCTTTTCGAACACTTGCCTAAACCCAATCAACTCCACGCCTTGCTCAGAATCTCTTCCACTTTGCTGTGCCCATGCGCCGACGCTGCACCCAGATGCCTGCGAGGTTGGTCCGATTGGGATCTCGAACGTTGGGGGGTCTGTGTGTTCGGCTGAACACTTCCTGCCCCCATGTTCGGCCGAAGGAATCTCAGATGGACCCATGCCCGTGTTTGAAATTCCGGATGGAGCGTTGTGCTCTAGGCAAGTTCGTCTTCGTTCGGCTTGGCGCTGCAAGGTGTGGCATTAAACCTTTCGTGCCCGAGTCAAGAGTGCATCTTGTTGACAGAACCGCAGGTATGGCAAAGACCTTTACCGTCCGAAGCCCATGCCCTAAACCACTAGACCCTAAACCCCTATAACCCTAAAATCCCAACCCTGAACCCCAAACCCTAAACCTCAAACCCTAAACTTTAAACCCCCAACCCTAAACGTACGCTTGACGGCTGCTGCCAGCAGGCCGGCCTCAGCGCGGCCTCCACATGGGCACTCACCAGCTGGGTCTTGGCACTTGCGGGCTCCACTTCCTGTGCAAAGGGCGCCTACGTCATCACAATTGTGTCGCGAAGCTGTGGTCAGCTCCTACAATTTTTGCTAGCTATTTGCATCTCATGGTCCATGTAAAGTCTGTCTTTCGCGCTATTAGTTGTAGTCGCGAAGCCCACCAATTCAGGATCCAGGTTTCCAGGAACTGTGCGAGGAAAAGCTCCCTGGATTTGGTGGAACCCAAGCCCTAAACCCTAAATGCCAGAAGCCATAGGAACATTAGTATTTAGGGTTTCGTAAGACATGTGACGCCTTAAACGACACAGAAAGATACTCTAATCCAGACTGACAGCAACAATGCCGAGCCTCATCCTCCTCCAGATCCTCCTCTTCGCCCTGCTCCTCGCCCATGAAGCGATCGCTGCCTGCTATGTGACGGAAGCTTCCTCACCATCACAAGGTCATAGGGACTGTTAGGGGGGTAGGCAGAAGGCGGGTATAGGGGGCCTCAATGCCCATAATAAGGGCCTAATAAGGCCTGTTTCAAGAAGTACAGTCCCCTACCCCCCTCCCCCTTATCCCGCTAAGGGTTCCTATGATAAGGCTTTCTGGGTGTTTACTACTACAGTCTGGAGATACAATGCACCGGTGGTATGACATCTTCGCTCCATCCCTTTTCAAAGGACTGTCCTTGAGCACGGGTGGACGTTTAAGTGCACAGAAGCACCTGCGAGGTTCCAATGTCGACAGGATCACTAGAAAAAGCAGCCATAGAAACCACAATCAGGGCTTCCTTGCCCGCTGCGCTGAACTGCATGCGTCCATGTGCGAGCATCACGGCGTAAATCTTCCGACCCGGAGATAAACTAAGCTTGCAGGCCGTATGCCAAATTGCGAAAACTACCGGCTTCTGTGCAGAGTGTCGGTCGTTCGTTCGAATCCCCTCCGACTTCCAGCCACGCCGCGCTCGCAAGCATGCGTCACATGTTCCACATGCGCCCTCTCGAAACCAACCTCCACAACCCCCAGAGTCCCAAAGCTCTGCGACGCTTTACATCAGAAGAGGCTCCAAGATTCTCCACGGCCGGCTTGGGGTGATTCATCATGTGGTTTCGCCGCGAGTTGTGCCCGTAGTGCTGCCTTGTCATTGCATCACCCGCTGAACGCAAGCTTTCGACTCAGGTACCCTCACAGCGAGGCGCCCTACATCGACAAAATGCCGATATGCTTGTCTACAGATACCTCCGGCACCATCAACGAATCCAATGCAGCAGCGAGTGTCTTGATATTATAGGCGCTTCGCATCTGATGCCCAGAACTAGTAGGCGGACAACAAAAATCTAGCACGCGAGAGCACAAAAGGGAGCGATATCTCGGGGACTGCGCCCACTGTGAAATCAGGCCCTACAGGGGCCTGAGACACATTTCTCATCATCCTCTCGTGTTGACGAGGTTTAGGGCATATGGATCTGCAATGAGACGTTCAAATCATGCCGTCAACGTTTCGGATGTTTGACAGAAACATAACCTTACGAACCCTGCGAAGACCGGTTACTCATACTAAAGGCCGGTCACCGAAATAAATCGTAAGCCCAGGCCACAATGTGGCTCCTTCCTCGTCCCCTGGTCGTGGTAGCAGCGCCAAGGCCTTATTTAAGGGCATGTGATGGGTGGCTCAAGGATGCAGGATAGCATGTGTAAAGGGTGCCCAAGACCCGAACACCTTCGACACAACTTGTTGCGACTCTTTTCCTGAGACACCTTATTTGCGTGTAACAGGGTTAACCGGAACCGTCACAGGTTTTGTACTCGAGCTCATAAGGATGCTCTGGCATGAAATCAGTACCGGGCTCCGACGGCACTCGTTACACAAAACACATGTTCGTCGCATGGGCCGGACAACCTTCAACAAGTCCCAAGGGTACGGCAATCCCTTCTTCGGGCAACTATCCATCTGCCAAGCACGAGCTGAGACCTACTATAGGGGCCTTAATAACTATAGAATAGGGTTTTGGGGCCCATTATACTATAAACATAACAAGAAACCTCCAGAATAGTGTACGTGCAGGTAATTTTTTGTAGGCCCCTACATTACTTTGTGGAGCCCTCAGGCATCCTGAGCACCGTCCCAAGCAGCCCGAGGTCCCTTGGTGCATGTAGCACTAGCTTGGCCCCTTAAAGCCTCTCATAAATAGGGTCCTATTAAGTCCAATGAGGGAAAATTAAAATGTCCCAAAGGCCTACCTAGAGCAGGCATGGCATGAAAAGCTTTCTACTAGTAGCCAAGATGCCGTGGGCTCCAAGCGCACCATGCTTCCCGGTGTGACTATGGCTACCTCCGTTGCCTGCCATCGAGCAAGCCCCAAACAAACTGCGGGTCCGTGTCGAACTGGACAGCAACAATGTAACCAAGTCAGGAAGCAGCCGGTTAAACCGCAGTATAGCATGACATACGGCTTTTGCACAGATGGGCGCCTGGCTTTGCGGCGGCATGCGATGTCTGACAAACCTCGGGGACTTTGCAAATATCGAATCTTACTCCGAACGCGGATGATTCGTGATGGTTAGTGCTAGTTCGTAGGTCTTCCTACTGTTCCTGGCATGTAGTTGGTGCCAGGAGCTCTGTGGAATAAAGGTGTTGGAAGAGTCTGACTATGTTGTTCACACAGGTTAAAACGCTCTGACACCCTTGCGTCCATCGACAACACACCAAACACCGACATAAATCAAAGGCTTGCAGCACTGTGCCCGAAGAACCCAAGTACCAGTGCACTCCCCAGAATCCTTGTACAGAGTACAACGTACTATATTCGCAGAATGACATTGAAGTTTATCTTACAAACAAAGTAAAACACATGGATAAGTAAGTATACGTATGTGTACACTGTGTATGTAGACATATATATATATATATATGCACATGCTCGTTCATATACAGAGTACTACAATCCCACAGTAATTACAATGCATGAATGTGCGACTTGCCCGACAGCACAATCGGACCGAGTCGCTCTGCACCGAGCTCTGCCAGTGCAGATGCCACCGGCCCAGGTGATGTTGGCGGTGAGGCCGTTTCAGCCTCCACCTCGGTTCAAGCTACCTTGATTGCCCCGTATTAGGCAAACAATGGCCAGGGATCAGGGGTCCTTGCAGGGTCTGGGCTTTCCGGTTGAGAGCCTTGGCTTTGCGGTGCTTTCAAGATTTAGGGCTTCTGTGATTCTTTTCTGAAGCTTCGAGCTACACCTCACGGTTCATGCCTGTCTCAGCATTTCGGGCTTCAGTCGTCTCTCAGCGTGGCCGGATAGCCGTGGGTCTTGCGCCTGTCGGGGGCTCATCGTCATGACAGCAAGCAACCTCGCTTTAGCGGTTCGGGCATTGCAGGTGCCCTGATCCCGAAAAGCCGTGAAGTCCGATGATATCCGAACTTGAAAGACGGCGGGTCCGGGAGCGACGGTCCTCTGGATACGCATGGCTTTAGACCTGTGACGTTTTCTACGGTGCTCGGGGGTGAGGGCATTTGACAAATCCATGTCCTAGTTGAACCTCGCCTGGCCAGTCACCTTGAAAAGCTCATGTGATCAAACGGGCCTATGCATTGCAAAGTGCCTTAAGGCCACGGTCAAGCCCAAGGGCCTGCAACCTTCCCCCCTGTCACGAGCCAAAGGTAAAAGCTGTTGGCGCCCTGCTACAGTGCCGGAAGCCGGAAAAACTATTATTATTATTACTTGGTGTGTGCGTCGACCCTCCCGAAAAATTTTAAGGGATCTGGGCCTGGGAGCCTCGCATATGATGATGACTGATGATGATGATGGTGATGATGATGTTGCGGCCCATGAACCTTGAACAAGCCTCGGAACCTGATGACATTGATGACAGATGATGACGATGAGGACTCCACGGGGCATGCTTAATTTTCCAAGCCTCGATGATGACTGGTTACCCTCAGTCAGGGAGTCTGTGTTCGACTGAATCTGCGACGGAACAAGACTCGCCGCAAGCAACCCAGCTCCCTGGGCTGAGACCTGTGCTGAGCCTGACAACCCAACGAACTATTCTACCTGGGAGCCTGGGAACCTAGGAACCGAACCTTTGCCGAGCCTCGTGATGATTGTCAGATTGTCATGTCACGGCACATGTCTCAGCCCAGCCAGGGAGGGAGTCTTGCGGCAGATCTTCAACCGCAGATGCATTCGGCAACAGTCGCAAAGCCGGACTGGTGAGGAGCAGCATCATCATATTATGATGATGTTTCTCCTAACCAGTCCGGCTTCCCGAGTAGCGGTTGAGAGCATGCCGAGCTTGCACACGCTCTCCTGCAGCCCGTGTCTGGGAACAGGCAAACAGGCAAAGAGTGTTAGTCTCCAGCAACCTTTTAGAAACTCTCAGACCAATCCGGCTGGACTACAGACAACTTGCAAGTCAACTCTACAAGCCCGTGGCACGCATATCCTCTGGGCCCCCTGGGCCTGGAAGCCTCGCATATGACTGATGACTGATGATGATGATGGTGATGATGATGTTGCGGCCCATGAACCTTGGACGGGCCTGGGAACCTGATGACATTGATGACTGATGATGGTGATGATGATGTTGTGGCCCATGAACCTTGAACGGGCCTGGGAACCTGATGACATTGATGACAGATGATGACGATGAGGACTCCACGGGGCATGCTTATTAAATTTATTTAAATTTATTATTGTAGCCTCGATGATGACTGTCATGCCACGGCACAGGTCTCAGCCCAGCTATTCTACCTGGGAGCCTGGGAACCTAGGAACCGAACCTTTCCCGAGCCTCGTGATGATTGTCATGTCACGGCACATGTCTCAGCCCAGCCAGGGAGGGAGTCTTGCGGCAGATCTTCAGCCGCAGATGAATTCGGCAACAGTCGCGAAGCCGGACTGGTTAGGAGAAACTTAATTAATTTCATTTGCGATTGCCGAGCTGAACCTGGAAGCCGATACGACACGGGCTGAAGGAGAACATGCCGAGCTTCGACACGCTCTCCTGCAGCCCGTGTCTGGGAACAGGCAAACAGGCAAAGAGTGTTAGAACCCAGCAACCTTGTGAAACCTAAAACTCTCAGACCAATCCGGCTGGACTACAACTTGCAAGTCAACTCTACAAGCCCGTGGCACGCATATCCTCTGGGCCCTCTGGGCCTGGAAACCTCGACTGATGACTGATGATGATGATGGTGATGATGATGATGATGTTGCGGCCCATGAACCCTGAACGGGCCTGGGAACCTGATGACATTGATGACTGATGATGGTGATGATGATGTTGCGGCCCATGAACCTTGAACGGGCCTGGGAACCTGATGACATTGATGACAGATGATGACGATGAGGACTCCACGGGGCATGTGTTAAAATTATATCTTTATTTAAAATTTAATTAGCCTC